CGCACTTCATTTTAAATTCAAATTGGGTCAATTTAAAGTTCGCACAAAAATTAAAATTGTCAAAAAGAAAATTGAATGTGTTTTTAGAATAAATTGGGCTACTTAAGCCCACTTCACAAAAAATTTAGACCAAAAACTAATAAATTAAAAATATATATATACAAGGAACGGAAAACGCAAGTCTCCTTGGACAAAATGTCAACAATTTCAACTCTGCTCATCTTAGGCATCTTCATTATCATTTTTTTTTTCTAATGCACTATTTTCCCTCACCACCATAGTTAACCTGATTGCACCTTCCACCCGTTTTTCAAGTTCGCTATACTCCAACAGCATTATCATTATTTACTCTTTTAGGATGGAACCACTTCTAAAAAATCTAAAACGATTGTTCCGATCCAAAACATTTGGTGAGTGGAAAATTGATCTTTCATGAGATATAAATATTTTTATATATAAACTGGGACCATATTATGAGCATAAATCATTTATTTCTTCTTATGATTTTGCAAATCATGTTGTATAATTATTGTCATTAATAATTAATAAGTCAATAAATTCTAATATTCATGATCGTTATTATATCTATTTTATAAATCATGGTGCCTTGACTCAGTTATTTATTGGAGGTGGTTTAGCAACCGATTTGATTCTTGTTATGAGGTGTATTTGACAAATTGATTGACCATCAATTAAAGGATTTACCTAGTTCACTCGATCAATGGGAGACCAATACGATCACAACCCTCCAAGCTCAAGTGTTAAAGGCATGAAGAGCCTAAGTGATTAGGCTACTTGGTCGCTAAGAGACTGATATAGTACCTAGTCCTCTAGACTTGAGCATAGAAGTAGAAACGAATTTGTGTAGGAGAGTGGGGGCACTTGCCCCCACTACCATTTTACACACATATTTTTTTATTAAAAAATAATATATTTTTAAAAATAAATATTATATTCTAATAAAATATATATATATATATAAATTATTAATGTATAAAATATAAATTTAAAAGAGTTGTTCATTTATTTGATATTTATCAAACTTTCAAAGGAAATTAGTTCTCATATATGTGACAAAAAATATTCCTTAATAACGAATTATTTTTTAGAAAAAGCTTAATTTTTGAAAAAATAAAATTTTCAGCATGTATATTTACTTTTTGTACTTTCTATTTATGTATACATTGATTAAAAAAATCAAAATAGTAAAGATTATAAGATTGTATACGTTGATTAAAAAATCAAAATAAAAATACTGGAAGATTTATATTCTATTTAGAATTTTTATCATAAAATATGTTTTGAAATAAATTATAATCCAAAAAATTATATTAGATATAAAAATATGTTTATATCATAAATAAATTAAACTTTATTTTTATACAATTTAACATATTTATTTTGATGTTTTTATCAGTATTAAATTGTTATAAAATATATTTTTAATATTCTAGTTCTAACCAAACATTTAAAAAAAATATTTATGATAGATAAATAAGTCATATTTAGGACATGTATTTTTTTTTATAAAAAAGTTAGGTTCAAACCTACTAAATTATAATATAATATAGTCTAACCTAATTTATTTTTATCATTAATTGTAGTCGTAGATATACAAGTTTGTAAAAAATAATTATAATATATATTTATACTTTTAAAAGTTATATGTAAAATTTTTAATACTATAAATATATAAATAAGTATTAACCCCACTATCTAAAATTTGTAGATTCATCACTGTATAGAAGTGGGAAAAGGTTATGTGTTTCAACTAACTCAATTGACAGGAGACTGACATGATACACAAACCCTATAGACTCGAGTGTCAATTGGCAAAGAGTTTAAGTGATTGGACTACTTTGTTATTGGGAGACTAGCAGGTGCACAACCCTCCAAGTTCGAGTGTCATGGTCACAAAGAGTCTTAATGATCAATGGACTGGTGTCATGTTATATTGTCTTTTGGATTTTAATAGTTTTGGCTTGTTGTTTGTCTTTGTATTTTGTTATTGACACATTTTAGTTAATTGAAGTGTTTTTGGTTGATAGGATCCAAGATGTTTTCACTTAAACTCGATGTTTGGTTGAGTTATTGCATTTGTGCTTGAAGTACAGGTTTTGATCAATTATCGTGAGAGTTAGGATTTCTCTAAGTATTTTTATTTGATAATAGTTTTAACATGTTTCAAAAATGCCTTTCATTAAGAGTTGGTATTTGACCAAGTGTTTCATTTGTGCAGAATTCAAATTTCAAATGAGTGTGATATCTTTTTGAATCAGTATCACTTAATAGTTAAAAATTGTGTGATTTGACCATTTTGTGCTTCATATAGGGTTTAGTAAAAGATCAACAATTTGGCGAGTGTGCTTTATCAGTCACTTTGTATTTCATAGATTAGTTTATAAATGCTCGATTGTCTTCCGAGTCTCCAAATAATCGATGTGTAATTTTTTAATGTGTTTATCAGGTGTCTAATAAATAGTCTATTAGTAATTTGTCGAGATTGTGCTTTATAAGTATTTTTTATTAGATGGTTTATAATTGATTGATCATCTCTTGGTTTGTTGTTTTTCGATTGTCTTGTATTTCGAGTTATCTTTAATAGTTGCTTAGTCATATTCTCCAAAAAGCATCTGTTAATTTCTTATTGGGATTGATTTCAACATTTCTTGTTTGTGTCATTTTATTTAGTATGAACCTTAAGTGTTTTTCAACCAAGACATCATTCATTCGTTAACCCTTAAAGCACTTTTCATGTCAAGAATTTTTCTTTTTGTCACCAAACTTAAGAAACTTTTCATGCTAAGGAGCTTTTTTTGTCATCAACTTTAAAACACTCTTCACGTTAAGGATTTTTCTTCTTATCACTGACTTTAAGATGTTTTTCATGTCAAGGATTTTCCTTCTTGTAGCTGACCTTAAGACACTTTTCACGCTAAAGATTTTTCTTCATGTTCCCTACCTTTAGACGCTATTCACGTCAGAGATTTTTTTTCTTATTACCGAACTCACGTTAAGAATTTTTTTTATTGTCAACTTTAATACGCTCTTCATGCCAAGAATTTTTCTTTTACTATCGACCTTAAGATGTTCTTAACATTAGAGTTTTTTTTTCTTGTCGGCAACCTTAAAATGCTATTCAAATTAAGGACTTTTTTTTTCTTGACGATAACCTTCATGTCAACATTTTCAACTTTTTCCATCTTGGATATCTTCATAACCCTTTTTTTTTTTTTCAAATGTACTACTTTCCCTCACCACCATTGTCAACCTAATTGCTCCTTTCTCTTGTTTATCAAGCTCACTTTGCAACAACAATATTATCATTAATTAGTCTTTCAATATGGAATCTCTTTTAGAAAGACAGAACAATCATTCCAATCTAAAGCATTCAATGAGTGTAAAAATTGATCTTTTCTAAGACCTAGGAGCCCATATATATAAACTTAAATGATATTATGGACATAAATTCATTATTTCTTCCCATGATCCTATAAATCATCTTGTATCATTATTGTCATTAATAGGTTAATAAATCTCAATATTTATGATCGTTATCGTGTTTATTTAAAAAAATTATGGTGCCTTATCCTAATTATTTGTGGGAGAATTATTCTTAAAGTGATCAAGTCTTGTTATAAAACGTATTTAATAAATTGGTTGTCTATCAATGAAAGGGTTTGCTCGATTCATTTAGTCAACGAGAGATCGGTACGATACATAGTCCTCTAGATTCAAATGTTAAAGGTGCTACGTGTCTAAGTGATCAAACTATTTAGAGTATGTTTGATTTTATGTTTAGATATTTTAAAATGAACATGTTCTGATGTTCTAAATGATAAAGCAACTATACCTATAAATTAGAAGAAAAAAAAACGTAAATTACGTTGAACCTAATATTTTTTCAAACACACACTTAGTCATTGTGAGACTGAAATGATACACTCACAAATACCATCAAACAGCTTTTAAACAAGAAAGTGCCTATAATCTGAGAACGCCTAATCAGTTAAAGACTTGAAGGGTCGGAAAAATTAAGAGTGAAATAAGTATGGAGAGAGAATCTGGAGAAGTTGAAAGCGAAAAACGCTGGAAAATCATCATGATCACCCTCTCTATATCTCCATGTTATTCAACTTCTATTAGTAAGACTAATCTGTTTTTGTATATTGTTTCATGGTCTGTTTTGTTTTACGCTAATCTGATCGCGCAACATCCTTTAGGCCTAAAAAAATATCAACTAGATATGACATTTTTTTTTAGTCTGAAGCTTTTAAGGTATAATTTGTAACAAGTTGGTGTCTTTAAGCCCCTCACTAGAACAAAAATATTAAACTAAAAATAATTTTCTACAGAAATAAAATTTGTTATCATAAAATAAAAACGTTCTACTATTTTTTTTCATTTTTACGATGTAGGAGTTGCAATAGCTTAAAAATATACCAATAGTCTGGTTAACTAACGCCACCTATATATCTTTTTCTTTTTTCCATTAAGTACTTTTTCAACAAAAAGACATTTCGATAAACTAATTTGTAAAAGCTTTAATACTTGATTAAAAATTTCGAAAAATATAAAGTTAAGAATATTTGAAATTTTATTATAGTTAAACAGCAGTTTCAAGTCTCTAATACAACATTATTCTGTATAGCCTATTACACAATTTTATCTCAACTCAGCCTTGAATCGAAAGTTTCTCTCCAGAATAGTAAACACAAGACTAGTGCAGTGCAGTATTCAACCACAACAAAAACAAGACTAGTGCAGTAAAATTGTACGGACAAAAAATAGAAACAAGACTATTGGAAAAGGATAAATGAAAATTAATTTGGCGCATAAGAAGTGAATATTAAGCTATATTACACATTGAGAAGCAAGGAGCCCCCTTGCTTGAGCTAAAATTTAAGAATGTGAAAAGACAAAAGCAAAAAATTTAATTTCTTTTCACCATCATCCTATTGAATGATCTATAAGGAAAGAGCAGTTAAGCAGTTAGTCGCTTAGAGCCATGAAAAGTCAAATTGCAAACTACAACTTATGTCTTGATTTCCACATCCCTGATGATGCACAAAAAAAACTCATCAAGGATCAGACTATGAAGCCAGCGCTAGGGACGACGAGTGGGAAACAAACAAAAAACATGATGGTTTCTGAGAGTTGGTATCATTCCACCTCCCTTGCTTGTATCTATTGCTTCCAACATTTTCACCACCTCATGCATTTCTGGACGCCTCTCTGGTTTTGAATCCCAGCATTTTCTCATGATGTTTGCTAAACCACTTGGACAACATTTTGGAATCTCTGGTCGTAAATGCTGTGCATCCAAATATTATCATAAGCATTCAAATGTTATCTACACGTATGAACAAATAACTAAATCATGCATTGTTGAGAAGTTCATTTTATGAACAGACCTGATTAAAAGATATACATGACACTGTAACAAGGCTTAGCTTTGAATAAGGCGTTTTACAGCAATAAATTTCCCACAAGCAAATGCCAAAACTATAGACATCACACTTTCTGTTGTAAGGCTTGCCATTCAAAACCTACAAGACCAAGATTAATGAAAATTTGTATAAATGGGATTTCCTATCTCACACTTACTGCGTGTAACAGTGTATTTGAAGTCATAAATAGTAACACTTTGATATTCAGCCATCTTATCAAGTTCCAAAGCAAGATTTAATACAATACAATACCTCTGGTGCCATATATCCATAGGTTCCACTTTCACCGGTCAACTCACTTCCATTTGTAGCATCAAGAGCAATTCCAAAATCAGCGATTTTCAAATTATGGTTTGCATCTAGCAGCATATTATCAGTTTTCACATCGCGATGAACAATTTTCCTTGAGTGTAGATAACTAAGGCTGCAATGCAACAAAAACAAAATGTTTCATAGGGGGAAAAGTATTAATATATCAACAATTTCAAAGGTAAATATTTACAATGTGACTCACCCTCTAGCGAGGTCCAAAGCCAGCCGAATCACAACCTTGTATGGAAGTTTGTTCTTCTTATTCTTAGACAAGTAGTGCTTCAATGTGCCACCAGGAAGAAACTCAGAAATAACACAACATGCTTTCGAAGGAGGATTTCGACCAACGGCTGGTAAGGGCATCTTAAGGTTTGAAGTTCCCATTGAAGCTCCAATAAACTGTTGGAGGAATGATATGAACAGTTACAAACTTATACCACCTTTAAAAGAAAAAACGAAAGAAGAGTATGACTATACATGCTGCATGCAGAAGAATATTTGCGAGTCATGATTTTAAATAAATACATGAGATGAGAGTTTGAAGGCTAAAATTATTTACTTTTGTGACATTTGGATGATCAAGTTTATGCCACACAGTAACCTCCTGCCAAAATGATGCCCGTAAAGCAGAAATTTCAGCAGCAGTCGCAACACCATCCTCACCCCAGTCTAAGACTTTGACTAGAAAAAAATTCAACAAGACATGAAATACAGTGAGAATTTCTTCAAACTTAAAATCCTCAGGACCAAGGCTATAATTGTCTTAAATGTGGGAACATTATTTCTTAAGACGTTGTACAGTACATTTTCTTTTTCAGAAACAAAGGGAACAATGAGGATAACAATACAAAAGTGCAAATACCTGCAACATCTTGACTGTCATAAGAACCCCTGTAGACAGTGCCATAGCCTCCATTAGCTACAGAATAGTGAACATCCAATTTGGCCAAATCAATCTCCCATGACTCTAAAGGCCTTCTTGCCACAACGCTCTTAGGGAAAATTTTGTTCAAGTGCTTTTCCAGCATCACATCCAAATTGCTCAGATCAATTTTATCAACTTTAAACATGATACTTTTGCTGCAAAGTTTTTTGTTACTCATCGTCTTTGAGTTCAAAGCTCCTGCTTCCAATTCCATATTCGGTTTAACACCACCTTCTGAAAACATCTTGAACACCAAAATTTGACAACCTCAAATCAAATTCCAGAAGGAAATTGCACAACTGGGACAGCAACAAAATTAATAATAATAAAAATTATAATCATGTCACTATAGTTCTTGAAATTTGACAATCTCTATGTATCAGAACTTTTGATTGTTGTGTTGTTTGGCAAAAACTAACATAAGGCGGATAAACAACACAGAGTAACAGAGGATAGCTTATAGTTGATAGATAATGAATGAACTAGTTCATAGCAAATACACTTATAATTCAGTTGAGCTAACTGATCAGTATAAAATAATATAATATATATTATTTTTTAATTGTTTATTTTTCTAAAAACTAAATTATTTTTTAAATTATATTTTTATTAATTAAAATAAGATTGTAACAAATAAATAAAAGGACATGTTCTTATGATTATTTTATATAGAGAGAGAGACTATAAGAAAAGTTAAGTGAGGCGAGAGAAACGTATTAGGAGTTAGAGAATTTTTGTTTTATTTGTTAGAGGACAGAAGAGAAATTTAATTAAAATAGCGAGAGTAAATGAGAGAAAAATAACGAGTTAATTGTTATAAGTCCATACATATGTTATTTTAAATTAAATAGTGTTATAAACTAATAAGATAAAAAGTTCATTATTGATTGGAAGAGCTAATCCAATTTGGAATCGCTAAAGAAAATCAAATATAACAACTTTTTCATGTAATCTCTCTAAATATTATACAAGTTTACCATGATCTCTGGCTTTTTGAAATGTTATTTAATAAAACACGAAAGATTAATACAAAAATTATATAGAAAAAAAAATTACAACGATGAAATATCAGAGACTTCGCATTATTTAGTTATATGACTAAAATAATATATATATATATATAATAAGAATAATCTTATAAGATAGTTTTTAAAATGGAATTAGGATTAAATTGAAATTTTTATATAGTAATATAACTTACCTGAGCAAAATAGTCTATACAAGTATAGGATATAATCCTTGAAGTTTTATTTATTTTTTAGATTGAATTAGAATTATAATTTTTTAAATAAATGTTAATGAACAAATCGCGATATCAAGATAAAACTTGTCTATAAAAAGAATTAACAAAACTTTTATGAATCATTAACCACAATTTAAATCGATAGGAACATTTCTATCCGTCTATCATGCATGATTCAAATCCAAAATTTTCTCCTCACCAAACACTTATTCTATTGACTATCATAATTATTAAAAAAGAAAACGTGATTAAACAAAAACTTAAAGCTAAAGCTAACGATCAGAAATCCGTAAGACCTAATTCACACAATAACCATGACCAAGACCAACAACAAATGAAATCAAGGTTTTAAGGGGAAAAAGTACCCAGAAAAAAATTGTATAAATCACAGTTAAAAAATGGAGTAGAACTTAAAAACTTAGAATTAGTATGAAACTCAGAGAAATCTAAATATTTTGATACAGTTATTGTTTGGACTAATAATTAAATCTATAATTACAGAATTCTCTCAACTCAGTGACTACTGCGCACCGAATACATTGAAGCCGCATTTAAAAAAAAATAATAATAATGTCAATAGTGACGAACTGCGTACCTTCAGGAACACCTAGTATATAAGTTGAATCCAACAGAGAGAAAGAGGGAAAAAGTTTCGCAACAAAAATCCTTAAATTTTCGAGAATATATAGCTTAGAATTATTCTTAAAACATTTACGCATTCAAAGTTTTTAAACCGTTTGATCCTAGTTATGAGAAAACACCACACCACAAAAGAAAGACATGCACTAGAAGCTGCAACCACACAAATCACAATACACAGAAAAGAGGAAGAGAAACTAAACTACACACAATAACCATGCATGCACTATTTTACGTTAAAAAAGAGGTAATGCATGAAAGACAAGTACCTTGTAGCACTAAAGTTTCTATGAGTCAAAGTCAAAGGAATTGGCTTTTGAAACACAAGTCAATGGGAGCAATGCAGAGGTTGTGAGCGTGACGATCAGTGTTCCAAAGGAAAAAGGAGAAAGAAGCAACGTTGCAAATCTGCAATTAATCTGAGAGCAAAAAACAAAACGTCTCGGTAGGTATGTATATATACATCTCTAAATATGGAAAAGATAAGAAGTTACATATTCCGTTTCATAAGATAGAAATATCAACTATTTTCTGTTTTCAGTATCTTAATTTTAAAAAATATATCCTAATTAATCTATTATTGTGATAAGTCATTTATTAATTCTTCGGATTTGGATTTTCTTCTATACCCATATGTATACACACTAACTGTATATTGGGAGAAGGGTGAACTATATGTCCAATAATTTATACTACTATTTAATTTTGTCCTCTTTTCTACAAGGATTTTTTTTTTTTTTAAATAACAATAACTTTGTTTGAACTCAAATATGAAGATTTCTTTTTTCAGTGACAAGATATTATGAAAGATAAAAGTTTGAGAAAACCAAATCTCAACTGTAAAATTAAGTATATTGTTAAGATTAAATACATTAAATGCTCTAATTAAATATGCAGAATATACAAAAATGATATGTGAATTTCATTGACCATTATATTGGCCTATTACAGGGAAACAGTAAAAAGTGGCGACTTAACTCGCATACTATACTATACGACAACACATGAAAAATAAAAGAAATATAACTAGAAATTTAATTTTAATTCAGTTAGTTGTTGACTCTTTTCTTTTTATTATTATTAGTATTTTTATATTCAAAAGGTGTTATCATTATATAGTTAAACATATATGATTTAATTTTTATTACCAGATTGTGTATACCAAAAATATGTATTATATATCTTTAGTAGTAGTATAGATAATAAAAAAATTATAAAATTAATAGTATAAATAATTAAAAGAAATATGATTCATTTTTTAACAAATAAAGATTAAAAAATATATTTAAAAGAAATATAAAGTTATTGCAACTCTTATATCATAAATCTGAATATTTATTTTTAAAAGATAAACATTTTAGAATTGTTTTCTTTCTCATTAAATAATTACTGTTGGTTCTCCTAGGTTAATTTATTTTATGATTTTTTTATATTTTATAACTAGCATTTTATCTCTGATAAGTTCATTAATCATTGGATAAATATTTTTATATACAAACATTTAATATCTCTCACTACAAACGTGATTTGTGGCGGTTATTTTGGTGGTTTCTGGCGGTTAAAAGACGCCACAAATTGCATTACCTTATAACCGCCGGATCTACGATCGCCAAAAACCGTTTGTGGCGG